AGCTTGTTAAATTTTGGAATCTATTACTAAAGGAGTTCCTCATTTTTTTTCCTTGAGATGAGGTCTTGCTATGTCTCGCCCAGGCTGGTCTTGAACTCCTGGCCTCAAGGTAGCCTCCTGACTCAGACTCCTGAGTAGTTGTGGCTACAAGTGCACAACACTGTGCCCAGATTTATTTATTTATTTATTTAGAGACAAGGTCTCCTTATGTTGCCCAGGCTGGTCTTGAACTCCTGGCCTCAAATGATCTTCCCACTGTAGCCTCTCACTCATTCATATTAAAAAAAAAATGATCTTTGTAAAAAAGTTAAATGTAGTACTGAAGAAAAGAGAGATAAACCAGATGACTTATCAATATTCTTTTTAGTTTCTTAATTTTATTGTTCAATAAATATTAAAATTTTGAAAATTAAAAAGTTAAAAGTGGGCTTACATTTTTATAATTTTGATTTCAACATGAAAGCCAGTTTTTAATGCTAGCTCATAGAATTTAGTAGTATCCTCCATATCTTCTAGTAAGTTACTGTTGTTTGACAAATAAAAGTTTCCTAGTCTCTTTTTTATGTACTACACATTGGGTGTTTTTAGTACTTCTTTGTGTTAATTATTTGTCCATACTGTTGATCAATTTTTTAATTAAATTGTTAAGTCCAAATCTGTTAAATTGTTGAACCATGTGAAATTGCCATTTTTGTCAAAAAGGATCAAATATTAATGGTTTCATATGGTTCAACCTAATAAGTCTTTGAAAGCCCAAAGTTACCATTTTCACTAGAAAATGGATCTGATTATTAGAATTGAAGGAATTAAAATGGGTCCCTTGGAAATTTTATATGTTTTATAATCTTAGGTTCACAAAACATGATTTGCACAAACCATTTGTGCTTTGGTTGTCTAGACTAGATATATATAATTTTGTATAATTAAAAAAGTTAGATTTTGTTTACAATAAAAACAAAACAACAAACAAAACCAAATACTTCCCAGTAAGATGAGTAGTGTAAGAGTTCCTTCACAGTTTCCTGCTATATCCCCACAAAGGAATTTCTTTTCAGCATATTACGGGGGTACAAATGTTTAGGTTACGTATGATGCCCTGCCCCACCCCACCCCGAGTCAGAGCTTCAAGCGTGTCTATCCCCCAGATGGTGCACATCGCACTCATTATGTATGTATATACCCATCCCCTCCTCCCTCCCATCTGCTCGATGCCTGATAAATGTTATTCCTATATGTATACTTAGATGTTGATCAGTGAGACCAATTTGCTGGTGAGTACATGTGGTGCTTATTTTTCCATTCTTGGGATATTTCACTTAGTAGAATGAGTTCCAGATCTATCCGGGAAAATACAAGAGGTGCTACATCACAGTTGTTTCTTATAGCTGAATAGTACTACTTGGTATACATATACCACATTTTATTAATTCACTCATCTATTGATGAGCACTTGGGTTGTTTCCACATCTTTGCAATCCCACAAAGAAATTGATTTAAATGATTCAAAGAAAAGCAGAAATAGGAATTTTGCTACTAAATGTTGAAAATAGGGAATTGTCAAAGATACATCATTAATTTGGAAGAATTTTTTGTCTACCATGTTAAAGTTTGAACTAAGCTGCTGGGAGCTGATATACCATTCTCCTTCTCAAGAGAGCTGAATAGAATTTTGGGAAATATAAATGGAGGATATTCTAGAGAAAATGCTGGTAAGTTCTAGAAAGCTGACTTGGCTTTCTAGATGGAATATGAACTTGCCCTGATGTTGTGGAGAACACTTTTAATATGGAAGGGTGTCGTCAGAAACAAAGGATGGATGTAAGAGAGATGAGAAGTGGTCCATCTGGATCCTTTTGATAGCTGTAGGCTTTGGACTAAGAACAGCAATAGCATCTACACCTTACTCAATAGTCCTCAGGCCCAAAGGATGTTTACTAGACTACATTTCTAAACACATAGCCAGTTCACCTCAAAGCAGAGGAGGATTTTGGAATTAGGGGTGGGGTAACGAGACTGATTATTCTCCCTAATTGTTGAAGCTGGTCTCTGGGAAGGTGGTTTCAAAAAATACCAAGAAAATGCATGTGGGGACAGAGACTGCCCTTGCATCCATATCCTTCCCTGCCTCTCAAGAGCTGCTTAAAGATTGAGCCTGTATCTGCCACCCAATGCTTCCGCTTACTGTAGGAAAATTTTTATTCAAAAAAAATCAAATGAAAAGTTACAACGATAGTACAAACAACTTCTCTACACGTTTCACCTACTGTGAACATTTTGCCTCTCATTTATGGATCTTTGTTTCTTTTCAGAACCATTTAAGAGTAAATTGCAGAAATCGCGTCTCTTTACCATCAAATAATTTAGCGTTTATTTCCTAAAAACAAGGACATTGTCTTACATTACCATAATACAAGTGTCAAATTCAGACAATTTAATGTTTGCACAGTATTATCTATTATATAGTCCAGGGGGTCCTCAAACTTTTTAAACAGGGGGCCAGTTCACTGTCCCTCAGACCGTTGGAGGGCCGGACTATAGTTTAAAAAAAAAACTATGAACAAATTCCTACGCACACTGCACATATCTTATTTTGAAGTAAAAAAACAAACGGACAAAAACACACGGCATGTGGCCCGTGGGCCGTAGTTTGAGGACACCTGGTGTAGTCTATATTTTGTCATTTTTCCTGTAATGTTCTTGATAGCATTTATTTTTTCTGGTCCAAGATCCAGTCCAGGATTGCTCTTTGCAGTTAGCTGTCCATTCTGCTTTAGTCTTTTGTATTCTCGGGCATTTCCTCAGCCTTTGTGTTTGATGACCTTGGCATTTTTTAAAGGACAAGCCATTTGTTTTATACATAATCCCTCAATTTGGATGTGTCTGATGTTTCCTCAAGATTAGACTCAGATTATGCTTTTTTGGCAGGAATACCACCTAACGAGGGGTGTCCTCTGAGCGTCACTTCAAGAGGCACGTGGTCTCATTAAGTCCCATTATCGTCAACGGGAATGTCCAACACTTGATTAAGATGCTGTCTCCCAGCTTTCTCCACTGTGAAATTAGCATTTTTCCCTTTGTAAATTAGTGAGCACTTTGTGGGGAGATAACTTTTCATTTTTGATTCTCGCCTGAGTTATTGCTGTGATGGTTGCAAAATGGTGATTTTTTTTCCAACATTCATCATTCCTTCTACTTTTTTTTTTTTTTTTTTGAGGCAAGCACTCATTCTGTCTCCCAGGCTGGAGTGCAATGGTGTGATCATAGCTCACTGTAACCTCAAACTTGTGGACTCAAGTGATCCTCCTGCCTCAGCCTCCTGAGTAGCTAGGACTACAGTAGTGCACCCTCACGCCCAGCTAATTTTTATATTTTTTGTAAAGACAGGGTCTCACTCTTGCTTAGGTTGCTGTTGAACTGCTAGCCTCGAGCAATCCTCCCACCTGGGCCTCCCAAAGTGCTAGGATTATAGGTATAAGCCACCACACCTGGCTCATTCCCTCTATGTTTACTAGTTGGCATTCTACTGTAAGAAACACCTTGCCCATGTCTCTTAATTTTTATTTATTTGTTACTGGTATGGACTCATGGATTCTTATGTAATAGGTCATAATCCATTACCATCAGTATCTGTTTTGTTACTTAAATTGTCCCCCATTTGGCCAGGGGGAGCCTCTCAGGTACCCTCCTTTGTCCTTTTCACACTTTTATTTCCACTTTTATTTCCCATAACAGGTTTTTCTTGACCTGTGATTGTCTCAAATTAGTAAAATGAATTACTTTTTAACTAGGTTCGTTGTACTTTTGGCTCATTGAGTTTTTAGGGATCATGAATTTGACCAAAGCCTGCCTTAGAGAAATTCTTTGTAGAATAGGAACCACAGAGGAAATATTTAGCCAATGGAAATTAATGATCATGCTATCAAATATGATATGTTTGTTATTGTATTATGTATACTATCATCAATTTCTGCCTCACGTCTATGTCTGGTTGATATAAATATGGTCTTATAGTTGTTTGACCCTTTTAACCAAATGATGTTAGTATTATACATAAAGTGTTAATTCTAAAAACTTTTATCCTTCTCCATCTTTAAATTTCCAAAGTGCCAACTAGAGAGTGATCACATTCTTACAAATAATAGGAGGACTAAGTTAATAGCTGCATTGTGATGAGAAGTCAGGGCTTGTAGTCTCACCCCCACCCCCCAAACTCTCACCATTCTTTTTTTAAGAGACAAGGTCTTGCTCTGTCACCCAGGCTGGGGTCAGTGGTGTGACCATAGGTCACTGTAACCTCATATTCTGGGCTCAAGCAATCTTCCCACCTTGGCTTCCCAAAGTGCTGGAATTATAACCAGGATGCCTGGCCTCTTTTTTTTGTTTTTAGTTATGTATCAATGAATACATATTTTCTTCTGAAAAATTTGACTTTAACATTTCCAATCCTATAGTTCTCTTTGGATTTCTTTTCTTTCTTCAACTGGTAATCAGTTTGTTAAAACAGTTGCCTTAAGCATCTGTAATGGTGACTTTAACGGCAGCTGCTTTCTCAGTACCGATGGAAGTAATCTGTGTAAGCAATCTCAGAAGGACTGTGCAAGTCGATAGTCGCTTGTGGTTTCTAACCTGGAAGCTCTCCCAAGTCTTAGAACCTTCACCACAAGGAGTTTTTCTTTCAGTGATTCTCAAAGTCTTGGTAGGCATCCGAACTGGTCTTTTTACTTTGAGATTCTTTTCCTTTGAGCCTCCAATGAAGTCAGCACACACCTTCTCCAGGGACTTTACGTTGCGGCTGGTTAGGGGAATTCCAATTCGGTGAACGCCACCTGTGGCTCCACAGGTGTTTTTCTGGTATCTTTACAAGCCATGGCTGTGGCGCGGCTTCCTGACCAAGCGGGCACGCCATGGCCACTGCACCTGCGACCACGTCTTCCATGAAAGGACTTTTTTTTTTTTTTTTTAAAGACAAATACTAATAACTTTTTTGGTTTTGCTTCTAGAAAAACTTATTGCTTATCAACGAGAATTTCTTGCTTTGAAAGAACGTCTTCGAATAGCTGAGCATAGAATCTCTCAGCGCTCTTCTGAATTAAATACCATTGTGCAACAGTTCAGGCGTGTAGGAGCCGAAACAAATGGAAGTAAGGCTACAGTGAATAAATTTTCAGGTATAAACACATTTTTTTTGCATGACAAAAGATTGTATTTTCAAAGGGTTATGTGAAATATTTTATTTGAAAGTTGCATGGTTTATCAGCCAGCATTCGTTACCCTTTTCAGAGAGATAATCACACAAAACTTTCCATTCTGGTAAATTATAAAACAATTTTTATTAATTGCTAAATTCCATTTTAAGAGTAATGTTAACTTAAATTTCAGTTGTATAAATTTCATTGGCAATAGTGAAGAAGCTGCATCTTTTAAAATATATTCAAAATGAGATTGAAATTTAACTTTGTGTTTATGTTGTGACTTATGTGTGGACTTCAGATGGACTCTGGAGAAATCTTTGAGCTTTTTGAAGCAATTAGTGCTCTTAAATCTGATTTGTAATAAAGAAGATACCTAGGTTTATAATAGATACTTTGGGAACATCTGATTCCTTCTCTGAGAATGTCAGGTCAGAGTAAGATGAATGCCAGTTATCTCCTCTGTTTTTGTGCTCTTTTTATTCTGATAATTAAATTGATATATGTATATAATCAATTGGCTCCAAATTTGCATAACCTTTCTAGATTAGCATACTTTTTCATTTAGCTTCACCTATTGTAAAAAACCATGAATTCCTCTCATTTTGAGATCCATTACCCCACCTTACTTTTAAAGTTTCATGCTCTTTGTTTCCTGCTGACAAAATTTATGTTCCAGTAGCATTTAAAATTATGGGATGGTAAAGACAAACAATAAATCACCCATAAGCCTGTTACCAAGTGATTCCTGCTAACATTTTATGTTTCCTTCTAGTTTTTTTTCTCATGCGTATTTTTATTCAAAATTGTGATCATATGTTATAGCCTGATTTTTACTCTAGAGATTACAGTATGAGTGTTTTTAAACTATCATTAAATATTTCAAATAGTGTTTCAAAATACTATTTTTCATGGTTGTAAATATGCCAGCTAATCATATACCCTAATATATTAAACATTTCCTACATTTTGTCAACATTTGACAATTAGTCAAATGCTTTTTTTTTTTTTTTATGGGTGGTTTTTTCTCCTCAGTTTATAACCCTGTGATGAACATCTTTGCTTATAGAACGATCATAATTCCAGTAGCCTTTAAGTTATTTTCATAAGATTATGACTTTCTTAAAAACAGAATCTATGTTTTGACAACTGCTGATTTTCAAACACATGGTATAGTATTGCTGGAACACAATAGGTAATCTCTAAATATTTGTTGAATGTGTAAAAGTTAAATTCTTAAAAGGAAAGTTACTGAGTAATAGGACAAATATTTTAGGATCTTTGCTGCTGCTCTGAACAGCTGAAACACTTTTCACTTTATCACCAATATTTAATATTAATCTAACTTTATACGTAGAAATTGATACATTGTAATTTGTAATTGTTTCCCTATTAATGAGATTAAAGTTTCATTTCATATATAACAATTACTTGCATTTCTTATGTGAATTTTTGTTTCTTGTATTTTTAATGGAGCTAAGGCTACAAGTTCTTACTGCTAACTTCCTGTTTCAAAGGTTCAATTCTAGTTTAATTAAATTTTAAAATAATGTTGCTTATACTATCAAGTTTTTATTTAGTTTATCATAAAAACAAACTATTTGAAAATTGTGATCTGTACTGAACAGTCTCCACTTATGCTGTTTAAATTATTTTACTTGAATTTTTTTTAGAAAAAATATACTTTCATGTGAAATTGTGAGAAAATGTAAATGCATAAAGAAAGTGGAAGTTACTGGTGGTCAAGGTACACATTATCATTGCATTTTCATAAGTGGATAGCGTATTTAGAGTGTGTTCAGTAATCTTGAGTTCTGGCACATTGTGAAGGTACGTGGTTGGCATTCCAGCTTCTCACAGCAGTTTAACTAACCCTTCTGGCTTCCTGCAGCCTGTTTTAATCAACATCATGACCTGTGAGACTGGTTGTGAAAGCCCTTTTCATTTTAAATGGAGATATCATTCACCAAAGTATGAAACTAGGAAAGAAAATTCTTTAGTTCTCTCCTTCTTAGAAATTGTACTACTATTTTTATAAGGTAACGTTTTCCTGTGGATTAATTATACTTCTGTGTTTCAGATAATACCCTAAAGCTACTAAAGGAGTTAACAAGCAAAAAATCTCTTCAAGTGCCAAGTATTTATTATCATTTGCCCCATTTATTGCAAAATGAAGGAAGCCTTCAACCTGCTGTGCAGATTGGCAATGGAAGAACAGGAGGTTTGTTTATTTTGTTTCCTAGTGTGGTTGTATTATACTACTGGTCTTAATTGTGTCTTAGAATATTATGTTGACCATTGGAAGTCCGGCAGGTCAAAGAACAAAAATTCTTTATCTGTGCACAGTAACTTCAGACTCATTCTAAACTTCATGTTGAAAGGAGTTGGATGTTTTCCTTCATAGGCCGAAGTAATGTTGCCCAAAAGGACCATGAGAAATCTAGTTCAGGCTCCATCTCCAGGCAGGCAAATGTTTACACCTTTATAATTTTTGTCTTAAAAATTTGGAAGAGATGACTTTTTCCCCCCTTATATCTTATTTCAACATTAATAGCTCTTACGGTCATGTCAAGAAGGGTTTTCTTATATCGGCCCTACTTTTTCTTACAGAGATGTAAGTAGATAGTAGCTTTTATTTAACTTTTCATGTGATAATAGGAATACTTTGGTTTGCTTTTTTTTTTTTTTAATTTACCCAAAAGATAATTGATAGCTTTTTTTTTTTCTCCCATTGTCAAAACAACTAGAGCTGCTTGTATTTTCCTTATAGGACCTATTACTATTTAGCCCTCTTTTATACTTTTTATTCCTCAGTTTTGGCTTTATTAATCTTTGTAGGCAGAGCCTAAAGTAATAACTGTGTTTTCCTACAAGTCTTTAACAAGTGACAAAATGATTATTTCATAGATATCAAAATTTTTGTGTTTGTTTTTGAAATGCTGGTTTATTCTGCTTAAATTAATAGGATTCTTAAGTATTTAAGTGTCCTGTTTTCTGGTCATGTTTTCTCATGTTATTTGATCTATAACTGTAAGCTTTTACATTCATCTTGCTTTAGTTCTGCCATCTTTCTATTTTACTACTCACTAGAAATAATATACTATCTTCTCTCCTAAGGAGGTGGAAACTCTTAAAATATCATATTCAGATGAACTCATTCTTCTCTTTATTGATTCAAAAAATATTTATTGAGCCCAAGTACTCTGCAGGTGCCAGATGTACAAAGACTAACAGATGTGTAGGGTACTCTATATTTTTTGAAATATTGATTGTTAATTATTTTTGAAGCTGTTATTATATCTCTCCCTTTAATAATCACTATTTTAGACCAGGCATGGTGGCTCATGACTTTAATCCTAGCACCCTGGGAGGCCAAGATGTGAGGATTACTTGGACTCGGGAGTTAGACACCAGCCTGAGCAAGACTCAGTCTCTACTAAAAATAGAAAAAATTAGCCGGGTGTCATAGTGTGCACCTGCAGCCTCAGCTACTCGGGAGGCTGAGGCGAGAGGCTCCCTTGAGCCCAGGTGTTTCAGGTTACAGTGAGCCATGATGATGCCACTACACTCTACCCAGGGCAAGGGAGTGAGACTGTCAATCAATCAATATTTTTTATTTTATTATTTCTTTAAACATTCTTATAAAGCTGATGTTATTTTGAAAGGTAGAAAAAGCAGACGGCTTGGAGGAAAAAAAGACAAGCATTGTTCATGTTAAAAGTTTTCTTCCTAAATCTTTAGGGCAATGGATCCTAATATCTTTAGAGTTGCAGAACCCTTTGAATATCCTAGGAAAGCTATCAACTTCTTAGAAAAATGGCCATAGAAAAAATAATTTTGTATGCAGTTAGGTTCTGAGGTTCCATAAAAATCCCCAATCTAGGGACTTCATCTTAAGAACTTCTGTTTCTTAGATCAAAGAAAACCTGCTTCTTGTTAAAAATTCTATTCTTAAGTGATCAGGCTGATTAACTAGGGAATAGCTTTCAGAGCAGCTAACCCTTCCTAAAGCTAAAGAGGGAGAGCAGTGCTCATGTGGCTACTGATGCCAAGAGAAGGGCCAGAATTCTCACGTCCAGAACAAAAACCTGCCAGCTCACCCACCCAACACCACATCTGTATCTTCCCACAAAATTTGCAAAGGCAGGTACCGTAAACAGACACAGCAACTACAGAAGGGTAAATGGGCATCTGCTGTAACTAGGAGTTGCCAAATATTTAAGAATATCACCACTGAATTACTTCATACTCAAGAAAATTTAGTTTGTAGAGCAAACAATATAATTTAAAAATAAAACACACATTTTTATAGAGATGAGAGAAGACAACTCACCCATAAAACAATAGCTGACTATTTTATGATGGGATCAGTTAGAAATCTTTGTGTCTTTCATTTCAGTGATTATATTTTAAATTTCCATATAGATGGGCTGATTAAGAGTAGACACAGCTAAAGATCAAATTAGTGATCAGAAAGATTGAGCTGTGTGTGGTTCTTCCAGAATGCAGTATAAAGTGTATAAAGAATGGAAGTAGACAAAAATTTTAATATCCGTATGGTAGAAATTTCAGAAGAAGAGAACAAAGAGTGAAGGGAAGAAGTAAATAATAGAAGAAAATTTCCCTGAGTTGAAGAAACTGTGTGTTTCTTCAGAAACTACAGGTCTTCAGATTAAGGGCCCATGCAGGACAGAGCAAAGATGGCTAAGAAAAGACCCAGGTCAGGTTATCTACCAAAACGACACTGTTGGTTGATAGAGGACAGCAGGTAATACTTGAAGTATTTGCTGAAGTAAAAGTCTGAGCACCTGCTGTGTGCCAGGTGCTTTGTGCACAAAATTAGATGTGGTATTTAGTTTGAGAGCTGCAGTCTAGTAAAGGAGACATGCATTAGTCCAATAATCGATTATAGAAATACTGGTACAAGTTCAACTTTAATAAGTGATATAAAGGATGCTTTGAGAATGTAGAAAAGGGGCATTTAACCTAATGGGAGAGTTTAGGGAAGTCTTAAAAAGTACCTGAGACCAGTAGAATGTGTAGTTTACTGGTGAAGATGGGTGAGTTGTTTCCTATTGCCGATGTAACAAACTATCACAAGCTCAATGACTTAAAACAACACAAAATCATTATCTCACAGTTTGAGAAGGTGGAGTCCTAACATCAAGGTGCCAAGAGGGGTGTGTTCCTTCTGGAAGCTCTAGGGAAGGATTTGTTTCCTTCTGTTTTCCAGCTGCCTACATTCCTTTGGCCTCTTTCTTCATCTTCAAAGCATAGTATCTTCCAGTCTCTCTCCGACTGTGACCCTCTTGCTATGTCTCCATCTCACTCTGGCCTTCCTGCCTTCCTCTCATAAAGACCCTTGTGATTACATTGGGCCCACTGAGTAATCCAGCAGTAATCTCACCTCCAGATCCTTAACTCAATCACATGTGCACAGTCCCTTTTGCAATGTGAGGTAACATCTTCACAGGTTCCAGCAATTAGGGCATGGGTATCTTTGGGAGACCATTATTCTATCTACCGCAGTGGGAGAAAAGAGTATTCCAGAATATGGAAAGAGCACTACAAAAGCCCTGTGATGGAAGGGAACATGGAACGTTTTAGAAGATGAAAGAAGGCCACTGTGGCTGAAGTGTAGAGTGAGGGGAGATGTGGAACAGGATGAAGCTAGAGATACAATAAGTTGAGGCCTGACAGCGTAGGGCCTTCCAGACCATTTATAGGATATTGGTTTTTATCCTAAGTGCAGTAGGAAGCCATTGAAGGGTTTTCAACAGGACTTTTTAAGGATGACTTTGTAAGATTTTGTGAAGATCACATTTTGTGCAACGGGAAGGATGTGGTTGTGGGAAGAAGAGTAGTTTGTGAAAGACCAGATGAGAAGCTGTTTCAGTGATTTACTTGAGAGAAGATAAAGTTGAACTAGGTAGTGTAGCAGTAGAGATGGAAAGAAGGTGGATTTAAGAGTGGTTTGGATATATGGGAATGTATAAAGGAGGGACATAGTCATGGACTGGATTTGTGGACCGAGGTGAAAGGAGTGGTCAAAGATAAGTCCTAGGTTTCGGGATCGAGTGACTGGGTGCATCGTGGGTGCTTTCACTTAGGTAGGTGACCATAGAAAATGTTTCCCAGCATTATTTTACAAGAAAAGATCATAGATTAAATTTGTATAAAATTTGGATATGGTAAGTTCAAAGGTAATTTTGAGATACCACAGTTGAAATGTCAACCAAGCAGTTTGATGTTTAGGTCTGGGACTCAGAAGAGAGATCTGAGTTAGATTTAATTTTATGAGTAAGTGGTTGTTGAAGACTCAGGTATGGATGAGATCACCTAGGGCAGGCGTCCTCAAACTACGGCCCGCGGGCCACATGCGGGTGTTTTTGTTCGTTTGTTTTTTTACTTCAAAATAAGATACATGCAGTGTGCATAGGAATTTGTTCATAGTTTTTTTTTTAAACTATAGTCCAGCCCTCCAACGGTCTGAGGGACAGTGAACTTTCCCCCTGTTTAAAAAGTTTGAGGACACCTGACCTAGGGCCTCGGATTGAGCCTTGAAGGTTCGCCAGCAGTTAATTTCCAGGGCAAGAGAAAGTTGAACCTGGGGAAGACAGAGACAGAGAAAGTGCAACTAGACAGTAGAAGGAAAAACATATTCTTATGGAATGTAAGGAAAGAAATGAGGAATAAATGACTGAAGTCAAATCATAAGGAAATATGACAGGCTAAAAACATTTGACTAGCAACAAATATTTGAAAAGAACATAATTTAGTTATAACTGAAGGTAGCTTGAGTAATTGAAGATTGAATATGCTAAGATTGTTCCTAAATTTTTCTTGATTTCATACTAGAATTTGTAAACTTCCCAGGAAAGTGAAAGAAAACTGAAATAGCTGATAGCTATTACTGAAATAGCTGATAGCTATTAGCTGATAGCTAATACTGATAGCTCTGCCACATTATAAACAACATGGGGCAAGAGCCTTATCTGTCTTATGACTGTATTTCATATTGTCTAGTACTTAACAAATATGTATGCACCATTAATACTTGAATTGAAAATACTGGGTAGTCAATAGGACAAAGAACTTAACCCAACCCTTTGGCTCTATTTCTCTTTGGTCCTTGGTCTACTTTGCTCCTCCCTAAAAGGGTGATTTGACCATAATTCTTCATTTTGCTGGTGGATTTCTTCTGAACTCTAACCCCTTAGAATACATACATTTTGTGGATTTGTAAGTCAGACAGGATGAACTGGGTTATGTTTTGGTAACCAGCCCCAAATCTTAGTGGTTGAAGTAACCAGTGTTTGTTTTTTTTTTGTTCATGGTACATGTCGGTGACAGTTGACAGAGTGCTTTGTTCATTACCCATCACCCAGGGATCCAGACTGACAGAGCAGTTGCCACCTTCAGTCTTATGGAGACTCTGCTAAAGGCAAAGGCACCCTGAAGGATCCACACTACAGCTATCGTGCTCAGCACATAGGTTACACCTGCTGGTGGTTCAGGGACTATTGCTAATCACGGGTCCCCTCCCCACAGTGTCCCCAGCCATATAGGGACCAAGAAGTGCAATCTCACCAGGGGGATCAGAAGGCAGGGAAAACTGCTGTTTTTGTTGTAATTTTGTCAATTAACACAAGCTTGGTTACTTTAATTCTGTAGTTTTGGCCAAAGTTAGTACTTTCATTTTTAGTGCTTTTGGAATCCTTGGCTTAAACTAAAGAATTTAAATTTCAGCTTTAAAAAAGAGTATATGTGGGAAAAATGGCTTATTCTCTAAGCAGGCCATCTAAACTTAAAGCAAAACAGAAACAAACCCCTAAGAATGTGGTAGGGAGTACAGAATTTGCATTATCATTTATACCATTTTGTTTGCATACTCTGGATCTGCATGTGTTTTGCTTTTTTCGTAAACAAAGTCTTTACACTCCATATAAGTTAACATTTTCTATGAATGCATCCCATCATAGTTGTTACACGTTTAGGCAATATTCTAAACATTTAAATCTTTTCTATTTAAATTCAGAGGTAGATTGAAGTATGTGGAAATTTGCTTCCAGGATAACTCATCCTGTCTTTTGGCATCTTAGAGTAACATAGTCAAAACGGACATCTTCATTTGCCAGCCTGGGCAATAGTGAGACCCCATCTATGCAAAAAAAAAAAAAAAAAAATTAGTCAGGTGTGGTGGCATGAGTCTGTCGTCCCAGTAACTCGGGAGGCTGAGGTAGGAGGATTCCTTGAGCTCCGGAGTTTGAGGTTGCAGTGAGCTATGATTGCACCATTGCATTCTAGTTGGGGTGACAGAGCAAAACCCAATCTCCCGCTTGGTCGCTGTCTCTTGCTCTCTCTCTCTCTCTCTCTCTCACACACACACACACACACACTCACACTCACACTCGATTGGGAGCCCTCTCTCCTTCAAATGTGTTTTTCTAAGTAAAAGACACCATAGGACTTACTTAAGTCGTTGATTTTTTTTTTTTTTCCCCTTGGCTCTCCCAGTCTGAATCCCTGCTGGGGAGAGTCTCCAGAATGTATTCCAAATCCATCCACTGGTCTCCATCTCTTCACACATCCTAATTGAAACCACTATCTTTTCCTTTAATTAGTTTAGTAACTTCCTAACCGATCTCTCCAGAATGCTTGTACTTTTAAAATAGTGCTTTTATTCCCCACAAAATTTGATAATCTCTTGAAATAGTGTCACTACCCTACTTAAGACCTTACAATGTCTTTCTCCTGCACTCAGAATTAAAACGAGATTTGTTATATGCAGTCTGATCCCTGATTCTCTGAATCTAGGCTTCTTCTGCTTTAGATACATTCTGTTCTTGCTATTTCTTGACTGCGTCAAGACTATTCTGTCTTTAGAGCCTTACTGTTTCCTCTTTTGGAATGTTCTTCCTCAGCTTTTCCTCATCATTAGTTAGCAGCTCACTTGATATCAGAGAGGCTTTCCAGGACCACACTGTCTGTAGAGTAGCCCCTACCCCCCAAATTCTTCACTCTTTCTAACATCACCACCATTTTATTTTGTATAGTACATAGCATCCTCTAAGATTTTGTTTATCTTTTCCTCCTCTTAGAATGTAAATTCCATGAGGGCAGGGGCTTTATGTTGTTCACCATTATATGCCTAATACCAGAATAATGCCTTGTATTTAATAGCTGTGTAACAAATGTGTGCAGAACAAATAGAACAAATCTTGTTTTGAGTCGTTGACAACTCTTCTTCTCTAAAATGGAAAGAGAGATCTGACATGGAATTTCAGGACAGTCACTTAAACCCTTTGTTACCTTAGTATTTACCTGCAGAATCATGGTGGTAGACTAGGTGACCTTTATGCTTTCTTTTAGCTTTACAATTTTATGACTTCTAAATATTTTGTAGCATCTCCAATAAACTGTTACATAATTAAGACTAAATTCTTTAACATTTGCAAGACACTTTTCTATTGATATATAACATTTAGAATACTAAGACTTAAGACACATTTTTAAAAACTAGCTTTGAAATACAGTCAGTTCTGTAATACAATGTGCGTTCTAAAAAATCACTGCACTATGCAAAATTGTGCAATAAAATGAGAAAAATGAGGTTAGGATCACAACATTCAGAAACTTTTTAAGTTACACATAAAAAAGGATAAAAACCTAATAATGGTAGCACAATTTTATGCAGGTTTTAAATGATTAAGAAATACATAAATATGGCATTCTTCCTTGAAAAAGACCTGAGGTTTTCTTAGAGTGGGCTGCAAAAGGGTTGCAGCTTTTAAGTTACTGTGAAGTGGTTTAAGGTGGGTTGTCTGAAAACTGATGTGAATTTGCAGCACCTGGTGTGGTGGGTGTGGCTGGCAGCCTGTGGCGAACTGAAGCAGCTGCTGGGTGTTTGAGGTGTGTGCTTTTGTGTGCAGTATTTCTTCAGAGTTCGGTGCAATTTTCTGTTTCAGCTGTGGAATGTTTGTCTTAGAGGAGAAATTGCACATAAGCAAATGTGAAATTCACCTTATGCCCAAATGGGTCCCTAATATATTAATCACGTAGGAACAGATTTGCATTCAAAACAAGCATTATAGTAGGATGACTGAAATTTTAGACTTAAAAAAAGTTTCACAAATAGTACACAAAGTTTTAACAGACCCTTACCCAGTGTTCCTAAATATTCACATCCTACATGATCATAGTACAGTGATCAAAACTAGGAAATTAACATTGATGCTCTACTATTAACTAACCTTAGCTCTTATTCAGATTTTGTCATTTGTTTCATTATTTTTTTTGTTACAAAATCTAACTCAGGATCCCATATTTCATTTAATTGTCATGTTTCCCTGGTCTTTTCCAATCTGGGACAATTTCTTATCCTTTCTTTGTCTTTTATGACCTTGACACTTTAAAAAGTACTGGCTGGTTATTTTGTGGAGTTACCATCCCAGTTTGGATTTGTCTCCTGTTTCTTTGTGGTTAGACTGAGATTATGCATTTTTGGCAAGAGAACCACAAAAGTGATTTTTGTATTCTTCTCAATACATTATGTAATTGAAGCTGATATGTAAGACGTTAATTCTGAAGATGTGCTTAGTATTTCTAAGTTGTATAATAAAATTTGCTGTTCACAGCCATTTTTAGTGTGTGAGGCTTAATGTCTTTCATTTTTATCATTTCTTTTACATTTTTTTCTTATGGTTAAGCCATGTGGAAAAAAATTACAGTATTATGGACTTGTATTCTTTGATTATTTTTCTTTCTGAAACTTAATATATTTTTATCTCTTAATTCCTATCAATTTGAGAGGGCATAATACTTTTGAAACAGTAGTGTTTATCTATATTGTCCTTCTAAAATCCTTTTACATAATTGCTATATTATTTTGTTTCAGTTTCAATAGTAATGGGAATTCCCACAGTGAAGAGAGAAGTTAAATCATACCTCATAGAAACTCTTCATTCCCTTATTGATAATTTGTATCCTGAAGAGAAGATGGACTGTGTTATAGTAGTCTTCATAGGAGAGGTAATTATTTAATTGTTATGTTTTTACTGTGTATAATCTATAAGAGTTGAAACCATAATTGAATATTTAAATATGCTTTTATAAGCATATATTAAAAATGTGATGAATAAAGGTTATGTAATATATTCCATCTGATAGTTTAATGAAAGTCTAACTTGTTATGTTTGCATTCATTTCTCTCCTGCTGTTACAAACCAGAAATAGTAATCTTTGTTGTCAATAGGATAATATTATTCACACAAATCTTTAGGAATGTGTCCCCATTTCTAGCTCTAATACCTAAATTTGGATATTTGCACTGATGTTCTTTGGGAGTCCTGAAACCTAAAAAAAGGTTTAGCCTCAGCTGAGGTTTTATCATCTTTTTTTTTTTTTTTGAGACACAGTCTCACTCTGTTGCCCGAGCTAGAGTACCATGGTGTCAGCCTAGCTCACAGCAACCTCAAACTCCTGGGCTCAAGCAATCCTTCTGCCTTAGCCTCCCGACTAGCTGGGACTACAGGCATGTGTCACCATGCCTGGCTAATTTTTTCTATATATTTTTAGTTGGCCAATTAATTTCTTTCAATTTTTAGTAGAGATGGGTCTCACTCTTGTTCAGGCTGGTTTCGAACTCCTGATCTTGAGTGATTTGCCTGCCTCGGCCTCCCAGAGTGCTAGGATTACAGGCTTGAGCCCCCACACTCAGCCTTTATCATCTCTTTATTCTCTCCTCCCCTCTTCTGTCCTCCCAAGAAGTCACGTGAATGAGAAATATTATATTTCTTATATTTTAGTCTCCTCAAAAGATCTAGGGAAAGAATAAATCTTCAGCAAGTTTTTCTTAAATCATGAGGAATAAGATCCCTAGAGTCAACGTTTCCTTAATTACCATGTGGAATTTCAGATTGGGAAAGGACCTAGGACACATTCTAGTTCTGGCCCACCGATTCCCCACTTGATGAGATGAGTTCCCCATCTCCTTTTAAATGAAAATGGTCTTAATTATTTTCTAAACAGAAAAGTAAACACATGCATACTGTTCAAAACAATTACATAAATGTATAATGAAGAATTACCTGTTATTCCATGAAGCTATAATTATTATTTCAAAATATAGCTTAATTTTTTCTATGACTTTTGTGCTTACATATATATATATATGAGAGAATGAGATCATTTTATACATATTTTAATACGGACATTTTTCGATGCTAAAAATATCAAAGCATTTTTTATGGCTATGAAATACGGTTTTCACATAATTTCTGATTGATAGACATTTAGGCTATTTCTGAATTTTTGCTGTTATTAGCCATAGAATATATCTTTTGCAAACATTTCCAAACAAAATTTTTTATAAAGGCATGAATTATCTCTGGTTCATATGAATTATCTCTGGTTCATCTATTATAGGAGAGAATTTCTGTAAATGAATTTTTGTGTACTTGTGCAGTTACTGAGTTGGTATTAATTCTTAACTGTGGAATTGCTCCTGGTTCAGAGTCCATATATTAATACATTAAAATATTCGTACATGGCCCAAATGCCTTGCAGAAGTTAAATCAGTTTTATTGCCCTTCCAACAGTCTGTCCGACAGAGCTTGTTTCTCTGTTCCCATAGGTACTATTAATCTTTGAATATTTTTGTTTTTGCCAATTTGGTTAAAAAACAATACCTTGTTTTTGTTTAATTTGTATTCATTTACTGAGTGGGATTAAATGTCGACTTATGTGTTTTTTGACCATTTGTATTTATAATTATTATAACTTTTGCTCATTTTTTAGTTGTGATTTTTGATTAGTAAGAAATTTTCATATGAGGGGAATTAACTCTTTGAAATATTTTATCCAGTTTATTTGTATTAATTGTTTATGATGTTTTTTGTCTTTTATAGAAGTTTTTACATTTTAAGTAATCAAATTTGTCAATCACATACTATATACCAGTAGAAATGATTATAAGATCTTTGGAAAGCAACTTGGTAATAGCTATTAAAATTTAAAGTATATGCTGTGACCTAACATTTTACTTCTGAAAACTGATCCAATAGAAACATCTGCTAGTATAGAAATATATTCAAGCACATAAATACATTTACATAGCTCTCACCTGTGCATTAATAAAATATGTAAGGAAAATTGTCTTGTGGAATTTACTCCAAACTGTAAGTAGTAGATATCTTGAGAGTTGGAATTATGGTGATACTATTTTCTGTTGTATACAGTTTTGTAAAATTAGAATTTATTTACAGTGAACATGTATTGATTTCTAATTTTAAAAAGCCTTAAAACTATAAAAGAAAAAAACTATCCTTATACAAATGGTATTCAGTCTAAAGACAGAGATTAGTATACATATGGATTCAAGACCCTCTTGCTATAGCCGTTCATCTGGTCACTAAGATGCAGTAATGCTGGGTTTGGAGTCAGAGGACCTGTGTTCAGGGCTGGATTCTGCCACTTGAGCAGGTTGTTTCTCTCTCTCTCTCTCTCTCTCTTTTTTTTTTTTGAGCCAAGGTCTCACTCTGTTGCCAACACTGGAGTACAGTGGTGTGATCATAGCTCACTGCAGCCTTGAACTTCTGTGCTCAATCAATCCTAAGCCACTTGAGTAGCTGGGACTACAGACATGCACCACCACACCCAGCTAATTTTTTTTTTCTTTTCCCTGGAGACCTGGTCTTGCTATGTTGCCTGGGCTGGTCTCTAACTCCTAGCCACAAGCGTTTCTCCCTCCTCCACCTCTTTTAAAGTGCTAGGGTTACGGGAATGAACCACCATGCCTGGCCACTCTCTTGAGCCTCAGTTTCTTCATCTCCTCAATAAGAATAGTGCTGTTGACCTTTTTGAGCTCAGTGTTGTTGCACAGTGTGGGGCATGATGAGATCACACATGGAGAGGTGTTGTAAATGGAAAATGTGGGGCAAGTGTCAGCAGTATTCCCATCTCTGAAGAATCCTTTCTTGGATTGCAGTATTTATATATGTATCTACATAGAACCTTGATCAAGAAAGTCTATTCTGAATAGAAAAATTAAAAGAGTTCACTAAATTGCCTTTAGGCAATTTAAAATTATTAATCACGATACTTGATTCTACCTTGATTAGTAGTTGTTTACCTAAGTGTTCTGGTAGACTGGGGCCCATTTAACACTAGTAATAAGTGCGTATTCTGTGGCTTTGACTGTGATCTACCCCGTAGGTAGTTCTAGACCTCTGCCTCTTCAGGAGCCCATATTGCCCTCTGTCTACTTGATGACATATTTGACTGTTTTATGGGAAACTCTTAATGTGTCCATAACTAAATTAATCTGGCTTTCTCAAAGTGCTGCTCTTCCAGGTCTCTCTATTAAAGGTTCTTTACAATGTAGAATTAATAGGTCCATGCTGCAGTCATCCTATCCCAGTTCATTGTATGGGTCTCATGTGTACTCAGTTCCATTGGTGCCGTCCCCTTGTCTGAAAGGTTGCCTCTCCCTTTCCCTGTCATCCTTCAAGTCCCAGTTTATCCCTTTTGTGAAGCCATCTCCTTTCCCATTTGAAATTAATCTAGAGTTAATAGGCAAAAATAAACATGTCCTTTGCAAATATTTTCAAATAAATCAGGAATTTATATAGAGGCATGAATTATCTCTGGTTCATTTTAACATATGAGGAGAAAATTAAGAATGAAATAGAACTGGAGAAGGATATACATAGGCAATCTAGGCTTATAATTTTTTTCTTTCCTATTTGACTTTGTTCTTTGTATTTTTTTTTTTCTTAAAAAGTAAGAACCATAAGATACGCCACTGGAGGGAAAGGAGAGACAGACAACTAATAATTAGCTATATTCTTGTTCTTTGTTGCTCTCTGGCCATTTCATCTGTAGTGGTCCATTGGGCATATTTGATGAAACATTCGTAAAACATGCAAAATTTCCAACAGTTGACTATTGACGCATTATTTGAAAATTCACTGATTCTACTCTGGAATTTCAGAAGAGGTTGAGAGGAATGCATTCTAGCTGTCCTGAACTATCCATGGTGGGATCCAAGTGTGGTGTTCAGATTTTAAGATTGTATCATTCCTGTGTTTATTTGAACTTTAATTATATTTTTTATATTCTAATCTTTTGTTGTCTGCATGCCTCATATTTTTATGTATTTTATAATATGTGTCATATACACTATTTCTATTACTCATGATCATTTCTGGCAAAATTTTTCTCTAGAATATACTCTGGATTCTGGCAAAAAAAAAAAAAAAACCCACCAAAACTATTTCTGCTCCATGTTTAAGTTTGGGGAATTCCCCATCTTACAAATCTTGGTGGGAAGAAGGCACTTCTTCCTGCCACCATGGAAACTAAAAAGGCAGATATTTGCTCTGCCTGTCCAGGCCTGTGACGTGGCCTCAGCTACTTGGATATTCTGATCCTGAACTTTGAGTAGTGTCATTTTCAGATGACACAGAAAATCCAAAAGAATGAACAGACAAGATTATTAGAAATAACAGGGGAATTTAGCAAGGTGGTTGGATGTAGGCTCAACTTATATTTCTATATGCCAGTAGCAACAAATAAGACAACATAAGCGAGCTGGGACTGTGGACAGTCATTGCGATGATAGAGGGCGGTGGTGGCGGCAAGTGTCTTTTCAGGGCCCGCAGGGCAGAGGCAGGCGGGGTGTGGCTGTGGCATTGGGAGGCACTCTGTGCTTTTTGGCTGTGACAGAGCCTTTGTGCTGCACCTTCCTAGCCTAACTGGGGGTTCTGTGGGTTCTACCTAGTCATCTTTCAGTAAATCATTCTTAAACTATTTTGTCAGAGTCAGTTTTTGTTGGCTGTAACTAAGATCCTGTCTGATACAGGTTGTATCTTGTTAAAGAATACCTGAATTTTATATACTGTGTTTCCCTGAAAATAAGACAGGGTCTTATATTTATCTTTCCTCAAGAAGACACTCTAGGGCTTATTTTCAGGGGATGTGTTATTTTTTTTGAAGTACGGTACAACAATCTACATTTATTCAAATATAGT